GGTACAGCCCAAGTTCATGTGTGTGTGAAAGGAGTAGTCCCATCTAAACTGATAAAGCTACCAATATCTCTAATGTAATTTCTTCATTTCTCATTTCAAAATGAGAGATAATCACCACCACCCCCACCACTTTTTTTTTTACTGTACATTCCTGCCCATCTTCAATCAGGCTCTTAGCAAGACCAGTAAGTACAGAAAGGTCCATTAATGGGCTGGAGTGTCTTCTTGCCTAATGGAAAACAGACTTTAATAAATACCATAGTTTCATTTGGAATAAGTTTTTGTTCTGTTTTTCAAATACTCTTGTTATTTTTAAGAGACATCATGAGTTTGTTTGGTTTTAATACAACTTAAAAGTAAAATTGTTTTTAGAGTAAACTGGGTAAAAAATCAGAACTTGGAAAGCATGAATGACAACGGGTACAAGAGGAAAAGGGTAAGAATTAAAAAGGAGAGGAGAACTGCAGGGAATATGAGAAGAAACTGTCTATACTAAGAAACTCAGAAAAGATAAGCTCTGTTCTAGAGAACTGAACTATGAGACAAACGATGGCCTATCTTCACTCACCTGCCTGAGCACATCAGCCCTAACATTTGATATCCAAAGTGTCAGTGACTAATGGTCACCATTCATTTAAAAGTCTAGAATAACATCACGCAACTGAACTTGCTGCTGTGATGGAAATGTTCTATTCTGTGCTGTCCAAGTGGTAACCACTAGCCACATATGGCTACTGAGCACTTAAAATGTGATTACTGCAACCAAAGGAATAAATTTCTTATTGCATTTTATTTTAATTAATTTAATTATAAATAGCTACATGTAGCTAGTGGCTACCAGATTGGACAGCCAAGTCTAGAATATAGGACTGTGATCCATTTCTAAGGCTTATATTGAAACTTCACTCAACTATTCATTTCATTTATATTTATCAGATTTTGCAAGCATGAATTAAATAAGATTTCATATGAGACACAGCTCTTGCTGTCTGCTCCAACTCACGCTTTTTACTTTTATAATTATTTGAGTCCTTCTCAGCTTAATGTCTCTCTACTAGATCAGGAGCTACTGTGAGGACAGCACTAGGCCTGTGTTATTCACCTCTCTTTCCTGGCCTGGAATAGGCCCAGCACACTGCACACTCTTAATAAACACTTGTTCATTGATCAGACATCAGAGAAGCAAGTCAAAAAGGAAGCATCCTTCTTGGAAAGATTATGCCTAGAAAGATGTCCCTGAATACCTGAGACTCATTTTAAAAACCATTTCTGGGTTGTATAGATCAATAGTATTCCTGGTAGCTAACCTAATCTTTCTCCACTTTAATTTTCTTCTACCTATGACTCACATTAAAGTAAGCAATATTTCTCATCATAGGCTTTACATATTCAATATTAGATTTTAATTTAAAAATCCATTATTTCAGGATTTTCCTAATATGAATCACACCTAAACCATTATGTATTCCTTTGGTTCTTCCTGAAAAAAAAGCACTGCAAACTCACTTGTACCACTTAGCCAATATTCCATAAGCTGAACACAGGACATGCAAAGGCAGATTAATTGAAAATGGTCTATAATACCTTTCTGACTGCTTTGCTTACAAAACAAAAAATACACGTGTAAAAGCATATTTATTTGTAAATGAAGCATGTATACACACAGGCACACACACACACAGATGCACCCAAATATTTCTATATTTGTGTGTGTATGTATACACACACACACACACACACACACACACACACTATAGAGCTTCCAATAATCAAGTCTTTCAGCACATTCTTAAAGCCATAGAATTATGGTGGTCAGAAAGAAATGAAATAGAATTCTAGCTCTTCTACTTTTTCAGATATGTACTTTTGAACAAATTACTTAAACCCTCTGGACCTCAGTTTTATAAGTTTGTTGAAGGAATTAGACGGTACACTGGCTACGAAAATAATGGAAGAATGCCTGACGCACAGCAGGTGTGCTGCGTTTGCTGAATGAATAAAATTTGATCTGTTTCTTAGGACCTCTTTGAGACGCTTACCCATTCCCTAAGAATGGACAAGAGTTGGTTATCTTCTGATTTAAAGAGAGCAGGACAGATTAAAAGCAGAGTTAAGGGCCAGCTACTGAACAGGAATTGAAGAAACAAAGGAAAGAGTAATATCACAGTCTTTAGAAAATATGAGAACTCAGTCAAAAAAAACAACTCTGATAAAGATCGAATGAAAGGCCTTTCTCGGCTCTTTGGAAATGGTTAGACTCAGGCTACCTTTGTAGAATCAAATACATAGTTTATTGTCCACAACTGTGGCTAAGCTGTCGTCTGTTTATATTTAAAGTATTAAAGATCACAAGACAAGTGGGGAGGGGAGGGAGAATGGCGTAGATGATAGAGGCTCTGTGTCATTCATCTGGTGACCAAATCAAAGTTGTGATGGAAACAAGGAGCAAGCAGCAGGGAAAAATTGCCTGGGATCTAGATGAACAAGCCGTACAACTAGGAAGAAATCCAAGAAATTACCATGCAATGGCAGAAGGTAGGACAGAGAGAGGACGAGGAGCTGCTCAGTCTCCAGCCGCTAAATGAGGCGGAGGCTGCGGTAGCGGCAAGGGCAGAAACCTCTTAAAAGGGCCATATCCACAAGTGGATTTTCATGGTGACAGACTTGCTAGCTGTGAGCACCAGTGCCAATTCGGCTGCGCACAGGGGGCAACAGGGACTTACAGAGAGACATTGTTGGAGTGAGGGCCAAGGCCAGACTCACTCTGTAGCTCTGTACAAAAGTGCCGGTGGTATCCATTGTTCCCTGGTGAGCCCTCACTCCGCCCAGTGCACGGACACAGCACTGCCATAGCTGTGACATCATCAAACTGGATAACAGAGGTTGCTCCACCCAGAGGATTCCCTGAAATGCTGCCTCTCTCAACTCACGGCCCCTCCCAAGCCACATCCAGGTATATGTATCTTCAGCGAGTCAGGTGCTCCTTGCTGAGCAGTGCCTAGACTCACACCGGAGGCAGCTGGCCTCAGTTTCTGGTGTGGCCTTTTGAGGCAACTATAAGCACAGCATCTGTGGACTGCTTGCTGAATCTTAACAGGTGGCCTCAGAGGGGTAGAGGTTTGGGCTAAATTTGGCCTGCAGCTAACCCCCTCTCAGGACTGTGCCACTGGATACCTTCTTCACAAATCCACACTAATAAGACAGGGAGACTTAGGAGCTTTGCTCAATACATAGAAACAGACATGAAAAGGCAGGCAAAATGGGAAGACAAGGAATCAGAAACCATGTGAGAGAACAGAACAGAGATCTAGATATAATGGAGTCAGGTAATATAACAGATGCAGAGTTCAAAACAATGATTATAAAGATGCTCAATGAACTTAGGGGAAGAGTAAATGAATTCAGTGAGAACTTCAACAAAGAGATAAAAAACATAAAAATGGAAATGGAAATTATAAAAAGGAACCAGTCTGAAATGAAGAACATATTATCTGAGATGAGAAATATAGTAAATGGAATAAACAAAGTGAATAAAGAAAAGTATCAAATGCCCTATCTTGAGAATGGGAAAGCCAAGGGGACTCAATCAGAATGGTGAGAGATAAGATGCTTAGACTATAAAAATAATTTAAGGAATATATGGGACACTATTCTCAAATATCCATTTGATCGGCCTACCTGAAGGAAAATAAGATGTTGAAGAGATGTTTGAAGAAATAATGATGGAAAACTTCCCTAACCTGGTGAAGGAAATGGACAAAACCCTAGGAGGCTCAGAGAATCCCAAAAACCAGGGATCCAAAGAGACCCACACCAAGACATATCATAATTAAAATGCCAAAGGTTAAATACAAAGAAAGAACATTAAAAGCAGCAAGAAAAAAAAAACAGATAGTTACCTATAAGGGAACACCCATAAGACTGGCAGCTGTCTCAAAAGAAACCATGCAGGACAGAAGGGCTTGGCACAAAATATTCAACAGGATGAAGACCCAGGATCTACAATCAAGAATATTTTATCCAGCAAAGCTATCATTTAGACCAGTATTACAGGAAATGTTGGAGGGACTTCTTTAAAAAGAAAAAACATGTATCAAAAACAGGAATAAAGAATGGTAACAACTACATTCCTATCAATAAGTACCTTAAATGGAAAAGAATTAAGTGCTCCAATTAAAAGATAGAGTGGCTGAAAGGATAAGAAAAGAAGACCCCTACATATGCTGCCTAGAAGAGACTTGCTTTAGATTAAAAGACACACACAGACTAAAAGGAAGGGGATGGAAAAAGATATTTCTTTGATGGAACTAGAAGGTATTTAAGTCTGACAGAGAAAGATAAACACTGTATGATTTCACTTAAATGCGGAATCTATTGAATAAAAAGAACAAACTAATCAAAAACAGACTCACAAATATAGTGGACAATTTGGTGATGGACAGAGGGGTGGGGAGATTAGGGGAATAGGAGAATGGGGTGAAGGGTTAAAGAAGTACAAATTAGTAGCTGATGGATGGTCACGGGGATGGGGAGCATGGCATAGGGAATGCAGTTAGCATTAACATGTTGGCTAGGTGGAGGGTCAGGGGAGGGAGGGAGCAATTGGGCAGATCATTTTATGAACTATATGGATGTCTAACCAATGTACTGTATACTTGAAACTAATTAAAATAAATCAATTTAAAAAAATAAAATAAAGATCATAAGACCACTCCCTATTCAGCCTCCAAACCTCACATTTGGTAAATTTGATTTCTAGATCTTTGCCTATTCTAGAGTTTCTTCAACATTCAGATAGCACTTATAAACAGAACAGTGGTAAATAACAGCTTTAACAGTTCGTATAAAGAATCCAAAGCTATGTAGCAACAAAATACTCCTTTAAAAAGTTAATTCTAGCTTTTGTTTCTAGACTCCCTGGTAGGGAAGTACATTAGAGTAAAGATCCTAGGAAATAATGTCAACAGGAAAGAGAGGAAGATCATGGCACTCATCCATACCTCAGCTTCCTGCAGGGTCCCATGGTTTAGGCACACCATGTCAGGGCAAGTGATGGGAGATCCACATCCTTCTCGGATTGCCAGCTGCATGTACTGCTTCAGGCACTGGAAGTTAAAAAAAAACAAAACCAATTATCCATTGTATTACAGTAGCACAGAGGTTACAAAACCACCACTGCCTCTTCTTCCTTACTTGGCAGTCCTCAGGCTCTTGTACTCAGGAAACATAAGTTATCACAAGTATGAATACTAAGAGCCATCACTTTGGGAAAAAAAATGCAGAGACAGGCAATTAATTATGTATGACTTCATCCTAAGAATATTGAGTTTATTCAAGGCAACAAGTCAAATTCCTGTATGCTCACACATTTTATCCACCACAGAATAGGAAAAAAAGAAACACTTTTACACTAATGGCAAAAGCCTTCTTTTTACTTTTTTTTTTTTTAACTTACGTGACTTCCCAGTTTCATTTTTATCTAGTAGTCCTCTCTCTCTCAAAGTTTGCCCCAAAATAGAACTGCGACCCTCATGCTAAATTAGTCAAACAAAATCAATTGGGATTAAGGCCCTGACTTATTCAGGAACACCTTGAACAGCAAATACACCTGGAAAAGATAATGTCAAAGACAATTTGGGAAAAAGAGATGTCCCCCCATTGAGATTGTTTGTTCTGATTACTTGAGGCAAGGCCTTTGCTTAAAGTCAGTAGTCTTGCTTCTTCCCCAAAACTATGGGCCTTGGTAGATGTTATGATGAGGAGGTATGAATAGAATCTGCGTAAAGAAGAAATTGGGTAGAAAAAAGAAACCCAGAGAAAAGAAGAGCTAAAACCCCAAGGACAAACTTGATCTACTTATTGCTGGTTGCACCTGGATCTTGGGCAGTGGGTGGAGGTGTGAGTCAGAATGAGAAGGTAGGAGAACTGATAGCATTATGGAGACCTCTAACACCTCCCTTCTCCTCCCAAACGATCCACACATGCCCACACAAAATTAGTTCCAGAAGATAAAACTCTTAAGAAATCCAAAATCTGGCTCCTCAATTTCTACTAATTTGCTAATTGGTCAGCTTTTTTCTATACGCACAATAAAGAAAAGCAAGCTCAGTGTTTGAGGAGGATATCCTCGAAATACATAAGCTAGCCAATGAATTAATGACTCTCATAAAGTGATTATCTATAAAGTGGGCTCAGATCTTTCAAATTGATACATTAAAAATATTGCCGATGCACCAACCTTTTACAACACCTTAAGTATTACACAAATTCTATGTTCAGAACACTGATGACATAATTGTGAAATCTATTCCTTTCATTGACCATCTTTACTCATTTTCTCCATCTGAAAATAAAAGTAATATCACAATTGTATTATTTCAGAAAAAAATCATGATTTTACCTGATTGAACTTAGTTACAGTGTACTCATGAATCAATGACTAGGGCAAACCGTTTAAACCATATTTGTATCTCTTCAAGTATTTATTCCCTTCTTCATGGAGCCCATTTCTTCTAAAATATTTATCACAATAAATAAATAAATAAATAAATAGATAGATAAATAAATAATAACCTAACTATCCAAAATAGAATAACATGTATATAAATTATGGCAAATTCATGCAATGGAATGCTGAAGAATCATGAAAAACATTTTCAAATGATGTTTAAAGACATGAGAAAGTGCTCATTATTTAGTATGAATTGGGAATAAAAGATACCTGGAAA